GGGCCGGCCCAGAAGCCCTCGTGGGAGAGGACCCATCAGTTGCAGGGGTCACCCCGGTGCCGTGCATTTGACCTTCCTTCAGACTGGAGGGCTCAGCCTCCCATCCTTCAGGAGAGGACAGCAAGTGACAAAGGTGAGAAGGGCCACGGGCCCAGCAGCCAGGACAGGTTGTCCCCGGGATGTCCAGGGAGAAGGCAGGGGGGTGGTGGGAGGCGGGCTTGGAGTCCCAACCCCAGTGCGGCAAGCCCGGCCCACAGTCCCTCTCCTGCTCCAGGACCAGCCCGGAAGGGCCACACCAGTGCTGCTTGAAACACAAGATCCCTGGACAAAAATATCTCCCACAAAAGGCCTGAACTCGCACCTTACAGAGAGTAATTAGATGAAAAGAACCCCTGCGAGGGCCCCGCGTGGCGAGAACGGATTTAATCAAAGTGGCCTCCTTGTCCTCGGGAAAACCGGACGCCAGGTCGCCTGCTGGCCGGAAGGAGCAGGTCAGGGAGGCGACAAATTTACTTTCCTCGCACCCTCCCCTCCTGTTAGCTCTTCTGATTGTCGTAAAATCCATGTAACCTAAAACTTGAAACTTCCAGCCACTCTGTGTATACAGTGGCACTCAGCACGTGCACAGCATTGTGCAGCCGTCCCCTTCACCCCTCTCTGGGGCTTCCGTCCTCATGAAAGCCTCTCTCCCAGCTGGTCTGCAGCCCCTGGCACCCACGTCCTCTCCTGTGTCTCTGTGGACAGGACCCCTCCTGGGACCTCCTGTGAGCCCTCCTGGTCCCCCGTGACGGCCCCTGTCACCAAGCACAGTGTCTGCAGGTTCATCTCTGCTGTAGCAGGGGTCAGGATGGCCATCCCTCCTTCGGAAGGTGGGACAACACTCCAGTGCGTGGACAGACCACGTCTTCTGTCCACCTTTCTGCCGCATCCCCCCACAGCCACACGGTAGCCAACACCTGTGCACACACGTCGGGAACCCCCAGCCCGATCCCACGCCAGCATGGGGCAGCCCCCGCTCATGGGGATGGAGGCCAGGGTGGGAGGAGGGTGACTGGGGGCCCCGGGCAGGCCTCACACATGGGGTGGTCTGGGGACCTGGGTCTGCTGCGCAAACCCCCGTGGTTAAGGATCCCCCCGTGGCTGTGGATCTCGGGACACAGACTCACCGTGTGACTCTGATGTTTATGGGCATTTCGGGCCTCCACTGTGGCTTTACCCCATGGAAAAGCCGCCAGGGAGGGACGTGAGGGACGCACCCTCGAGGGTTTTCGTCCCCGAACGAGGACCAGCAAGGGAGAGCCAGGAGTGAGCACTGAACAGAGCTGCTCCGTGAGAGCCAACGTGAGGGTCACGCTCCATGAAATATTTAAGTAAAAGGAAAACCGAGTCTGCCCAGCCAGGTGGCAGCTTCTCCGACACCAGAGCTGGGCAACCTGCACCCTCACACCGGCCTTCCTGGGCAGCTGGGAGCTGTGTGGAGCCTCCCTCCAAGCAACATCGACCAGGGGAATGGGACTTGGCCCTGACGTGTGAGGGGAGCAGGAGTGTCCGAGTGGGGAGGGGGCCTCTCCCAGGCTTCACAGACCCACAGGCTGAGCCGGGGAGCCAGTTCCCCGGGGACAGCAGTGTCGGGGGCCAGCAGCATGTCTGACCACGGCTCCCGGACTCGCCCCCGGTTTCCAGGCCCCCAGGTCCTGGCTTGTGAGGGCGTTTCCCGCTTCGGAGACACGATCCCTCTCTGCCCGAGCAGATGCTCAGGCTCCGTGGCCAGCCCTCCCCTCCCCCCTGAGCCATGAAGAGCCAGACATGCAGTGACACACAGACACAGACAGGAGACACTCACAGGCACGCAGCTGTGGACACAGACACACACACCCCCACACTGTAGTGTTCTGAACAACAGGCCTGTGTGACCGGCCTCCCAGGTGTCCCCTGAGCATCTGTGGCACTCTCATGTCCCCGCCACGTCGGCTCCAGAGAAACAGAGACGTCCCACCGGGGGCGGGGAGACTGGAAACAGGCCTCCTGGCTCGATGCTGGGCTGCCCGGGCCTCCCCGGAAGCTCACAGCACCCGCGGACACAGGGGTGGGTGTGAGTCCCATCCAGGGTCCGACCTCTGTCTGATTCCTGCGGACCCGCCCGGACCTGAGACAGGGAGGGGCTGAGGGGCGTCTGGCCTCCGGGGAGCTCCTGAGGAGTGTGGCCCTGAGGGGAGGGGAGGGGAGGGGGCAGGTGTGTGGCTGTGTCCTCCCCGATGGTCACTGTCCTCACATCAGCCTCCTTTTGGGCCAAGGCTCCCTCCGCCTGCCCTCCCTGGGGGTGGTGGGGCGGGTCCTCCGCGGTCTTGATTCAGATCTGGGGTCCCTTTGTGAGCCCACAGAGTACTGGCACCAGGACCCGGCACCAGCGCCTTCTTGGGAAGTGGGGGACAGCCACAGCTCAGCCCCTCGCCTTCTGGGACCTCCCAGGCTGGGGGCAGTGCAGCTGCCCACCCAGCCCCACTCGGCCCAGGCGGGCTCCCATGCCCGTCGCCCTCTCGCCGGGCACCGCAGCCAGGAGGGGCAGGCGGGTGGCCTGGGGAGAGCACCCCACCTCCTCTGGGCCAAGAAGCCTCCCCGCCCAGCACAATCCCACCACCCTCGAAGAAGGATCTGGTCCGGGGCGTGTGCCGGGGAAATGCAGGCTCCCGAGGACACAGGGACACAGGGACCGGAGCTAGGGTCAACACCGGTCCCTTGGCAGAGAGAAGGGACGTCCTACTCCAAGCACTCGTTATGCACAAATGCACAGCAAGCAGACTCACGGGAGGGGAGCTGGTCTGAGGGCAAAGTCAGCGTTCAGCCTGGCTGATTCCCACCCCCCCCCACCCCCCGCCGCGACCCCAGGGGGCGGGGGACCCTGACGAAGCCTGAGGAGCCTCTGTGCCAAGGGGCTGCTTCAAAAGCCCCCTCATTTGCACACAGAGGCAGGACAGCCAGGCAGGACGGGGTCCCACCACGCAAAGGCCACAAACCCGAGCTGCTAAACTTAATGCACGTTGTCTTGTGGGCAGCTTCTCATCAAATAATCGGTCTTTTGTTCTCCTGCAGCGGGCGCGGCACACAATCCGTTGATTGATTGCTGGCTGGAACCGTGCCCCCCTCCCCCCGTAAGTGCCGCCCCACTGGGTCAGCCAGGGGCGAGGGCACAGCGGCTGCCCTGGCTCAGGACAGTCCCACTCCAGAGGGCTGGGGTGGCCGCAGATGGGGGGAAAGGGGGAGGGAGGGAGGTGTGACGCCCCTGGACCATCAGCCAACGAGAAGAGGTGAAGGTGGAAGTGGGCAACTGTAGGGTCAGGCGGGTTTCCCTGGCCCCAAACAGCCCCCGTCCCCCATGCACCACCTCGAGGACCCTGGGGCAATGCCCTTCTCCCGCGTCGGCATGAGCTCGGAGGGCAGAGGACAAGCAGAGACCTGAGCGTGTCTCCTGGCACCAGACCCTTTCCCAGGGGCATGGGCCAACATGCTGGAGGCCCAGGACAAGCAGGGCGGAGGGGGCCAGAATGGGGGGATGAGGTTCAAGGAGGACCTGGAGGAGTGGAATCCTGCGCCCTGCTGTGGAGAACAGCTCCACGCCGGGACAGGGCCTGCTGAGAGCCCGCGTTCCTGCGGGGGAGACCATGGCGGGGCCTCGGGGTCCCCCTGAGCGGGGAGAGGAAAGGCCGCTCTCTCACTGCTGCGGGCCCCATGTCGGGAGGACCAGGGGCTCTTTCCTCATCCACGCTCCCCGGAAGTCTCTACTGACCCCTTCCTCCACAGCCACTTCCTCACAACAGAGGGGCCTGCGGTCCCAGAAATAATTAGTTGTTCTGACTCATATAATCGATTAACAGCAGAATCACTGCTCACAGAGCAAAATATGAGGACGGCGCGCCCGGAGAAGGGGGGTACCGGCGGGAAGGTGCCCCTCTGCCTTGCCTGTGGCCACACACAGCCCTCCCGGAGCCTGACAATGGCTCCCAAGGTCAGGAGGGCGATGGAGAGGGGGCAGGACCTGGGAACCAGGTGCCAGCAGGTGACAGGTGCCATGGCCACACCTGCCCTAGGCCCAGAGCAGAGCTGTCAGAGACACACCCCCCAGTGCCCACTACGTGTCTGGACCAACGCAGTCCTTGAGAGAGGGTGTGTGGGGTGTGTGTGCACGTGCACACACACATGTACCCCCAGTGCCCCAGAAGGTCTGCTGCTCGTGGGGGAAGCTCGGCTCAGAGTTCACCCCAACGTTAAAGAATTTCCCAAGTAAGTCAACAAAGGCCTTGTTGGAGAGAGTCAAACCCCTGGAGCTCTCAGCTCTCCGTTTACAGCAGGTCCTCACTGCCCGCACCGGAGCCCCTACGTCGGGGCTGGGGGGACAGAGGGACAGCCACCGACCTAGCTGACCTGAAGGAAACAACAGGGCTCCTGAGAAGCTGCGGGTGGTTGAGACATCAGCCCAGAGGTGAGGGATTTGGCCTCCAAAGGCGCCGGCCGTCCACAGACCGGGGGCAGCTGCAGGACCAGCTGCCCCCAGGAGTGGCCTGAGGCTGGAGGGCAAGGGCTGTTCAGAATCCAGTCAAACCTGGAGCTGCTGGAAACCCGCCTTCGCCTGTCCTCCTGTTTGCGCCCTCCCCCACCCATGCTGTGGGGCACCGAACTGTGCCAGGGGCCACGGTCCGTGCACCCCCCAACCACTCCCAGCCCACGGGCTGGGGCAGGGGTCCCCGAGGTGCTGGCGGGCACTTCTTAGTGCCTTTGGACTACAGTCCTCAAAACCAAAGGAAAGCCGGAGTAGAGGTTTGGCGGTTAAAGGCGTGGGTGTGGGGGGTGCACCGGGGGCACACGCCAAGTGAGCAACCAGAGGGCTGTCCGGGTCCCACAGACTTGCTGAGCCCTGGGCATCTCCCCAGACAGGAGGAGCCCTAGCGTTTGGGGGGTCTCCCGCACACTGGCAACAGACGCCTGGGGCTCCAGGGACAATGAGGTCAGACGGTGCTCTGCTCGGGAGCTTTCCCAAGGGCCCAGGGAGTCGAATCCCGCTCCAGGGCGCAGGGCAGGGCAGAAAGCGGGGCCGGGGGCCTTCCGGGCCGAGGCCCAGTCCCCAGGGGAGCCCCCAGGACACGCCCCTCACCAGCTCGACCCAGCGCTGACGACGCAGCCACCGCCGCCATCCGCAAGGCCAGGGACCCGGGCAGCGCTCGCACCAACCCCGGGGCCTGGTCGGCGACTCCCCTGCGCGCCCGCCCGGCTCCGCCGCACCGACGGGGAGGCCGCGCGCCCTCGATGGGCGCCCCGCGTGGCCCGCACCTACCGTAGCGGCTCGGCTCGCGGCAGTAGCGCAGGATGGGCAGCGCGTCCACCCTCGGCGTCTTGGGGGCGGCCGCGGGGTCGAAGCACGGGACTCGGCCGGGGCTGAGGAACTGGCTGCCGCCGCCCTCCGGGATGGGCCCCGCGTCCCCCGCCCCCCTCGCCGCGGGGGTCACCACGAAGCGCTGGGACATGGTGGCCGAGCGCCAGCCCCAGCCTCTAGATCCCCGGGTGCCAGCAGAGCTTCGGGGCTCGAGCCTGGCGGGAGCGGCCGCGGGCGGGGCCCAGGTCTGAGCGGGGCGGGCGGGGGCGGGGCCGGGCCGGGGCGGGGCCGGCGGCGGGGGACGAGCCCGCCCCTGGGACCCGGCGACGTCAAGCACGGAGGGGGCCAAGGCCCTCGGAAGAAGGGGACCTGGCGGGGACCACTAGGAGAGCGACTGGGGGACAGTCACTGGGGAATGGGGCACATTCCCTCCGTGAGGCAGGAAGCCTCCCTCTCCAGGCCAGTGTCCCTTCAGATCAGCAGGGTCTTGGGGGCCTCGCTCTAAGACCTTGGAGACACCCCTCCCCCAAGCCAGGCAGCCAGGGTCAGTGCCAAGGCCTGGGACACCATGCCAGCGGATGCTGGAGACCTCTCCGTTCTGGGACAGTGACCACCCCCAGCGGCAGAACGGCAGCCAGGGACCCGTCACAAGGAGGCAGGTGCCAGAGTTTCAGGGAGTGAGTGAAGGCAGCGGCCTCCTGGACCATGGGGTCTGGGCCACGCACCCTCTGCTGGGCATGTTCCCATCCCCCTACTCTGGCCTCTTGACCGTTAGGTGTTCAGCAATTGGCCCAAGAGATCAGGCAGCTGGCCTCAGACTTCTACCCGGATGGAGGAGAGGTCGGGAAGGAGTGGGTGAGACCAGGAGGTCCGGGAATGAGGCGCCAGACAGGAAATGTGGCCAAGAACTAGCCTACTCTGTCTATGGGCACTGCAACACAAGTCCCAGCCGCAGGCTAATTTTGTGTCAATGTTGCTACTCCTTCATGATTTCGGTGTAGCACTTTACAATATTCAACATCTTCTGCACATTCATTTGCTCAACAAATATTTACTAGTGCCTAGCTACGCACCCTGCAGGTATCAGAGAAGACAGAAATCCCTGCCTCCATGAAGCATGCATTCTGGAAAGAGGCAGAGACAAGAGCTGTGAGGAAGAAGCAAACAAACAAGGGGTCTATCTAGGGGAAACTGTGAGTGGGGTGTCCAGGGTGCTCCCAGGAGAAGATGATCTTTGAGCAATGACTTCAAGAAGGTCAGTGATCAGCTGTGTGTAATTTCTACTCATTTGCCTCATGGTGCATGAGAGCTGCTCCTGGTCCAGCCATCACAGTTACACTCTGGCAGTGGAGAGAGGAGACCATAGAAAGGCAGTTAGGCCCCACTTTCAAGAGTGCAACCCAGAAGCCACACACAATACCTGTGCTTGACCCATTAGCCAGAACCTAGTCACATGGCCATGCAGGCCCATGAAGAAGGCTGGGAAATGTGCCTGCTGACGTGTGGGGGCTCTGTTCATGAGAAAGCATGAGAGGTCAGGTATTAGGCCACATGGAGCACAGGAGGAAAGGAAGACCCAGGGTGTTGGATGCTGAGGACTCCTTTCTGCACCCCCCTTGCGTCCCCCACCCCCACTCCCACAGCACAGAGGGAACAGCCAGGGACCAAGCTCTCAGTACACCTGGGCACACCTGGGCACACCTGGGCACACCTGGCAGCCCCCATCTCGCTCCTGGACAACCTCCTTGGGTTCTTCTGGGGGCTCTGGAGGCCGTCCAGGCACGGGGTGCTCTCCAGGACTGATGGGGATGGCAGCCCTGCCTTTCCCCCGCCCGTTCACATTCAGTACTTTCTCTGCCCCTTCTGCCCATTGCGTGTTTGCCCAAGATGAACATGTGAGTTATTTTGGGAAGGTTCCCCCACCCTGTGCATTTAGCCTTTTCTTGGAAGGGCCCCGGACACGTACAGAGTTCTGCTGAGAGCTGGCACGCGCTCGGTGCCGTGTTCCGACCCAGACCGCAGACAGGCTGTTGGTGGACTTCGTGTGCACGTGCTCACGCTTGTTGCTGTTGTAAGGGATGTTGCGACTCTGCTGGTGTGTAAAACCAGAGCACACAGCGAGGGCGCAGGTGCTTGCAGCCTGGAGTGTGGCAGACCCCTGTTTTGCCATCCAGCCGGCTCTCAGTTCGGCCCCTGAGTTCCATAGGGAACCTGCCCACCTGGAAATCACCAGCCGTGTCCTTCCTCGCTGCGTCTGCTCTGCTTTCTCTCCCCGTTTTTGGTCTTGTCTTGGAATTTTCTGGACATTCCCGGACAACATGAACTACCACATGGGCTGGAGCTGCTTGTCCGGTCTGTGCTGAGACAGGAGCGGTCTGGGGCCTCCCGGTGACGCAGGGTACCGGCCAGCGGTGTGGAACAGGGTCTCTTGCTCCCCTCTGCTGGGGCAGGGCTGGGGCTGACAGCACTGGTGGCCCTCGGTCGTCAGAGGCCCCCGGGGTTCACAGAGCAGGGGTAGGGCCCGAAGCTCCGGTCTGTCCCCACAAGACCCTGCGGTAGCAGCGGGCGGGCCTGAAGGACGGCCTGGAGTAGAGCGGCCGAGGCCTCTGCTGCTGGGTTCTCAGCCCCTGACACAGGTCTCCCTGTGCCCGCGCGGCCACCAGGGGAGTCCCCCCCAAGACAGTCCTGGCCTCGCCCTGCTGGGCAGCCTCTTCTGGAAACTTTCTCAACATCACCATCTTCTATCGAGTCTCCGATCTTAATGTCTTCGGCTGAGAAACTGTTCACAGTCTCTAAGTTTCGCATTTACGTGCGTGTGTGTGTGCGCGCGCACGTACGTGCGCATGTGTCGGTCTCTGTGTGAGTGTGTAATGTGTGTGTGTGTGTGTACCTCCGCGTCCGTCCGTGTGTGTTTGCATGTGCGTGCGTGTTTATTCAGTGGGTTGACTGTTGGTTGAGGTCTCAGGGATAAACCGTCAGACTCATCATTTCTGGGCAGAGTTCCGTGGTCCTGCCCAACAGCACAGCGGGACGGTGCACTGTCTGCCCGGCCCCGTCCCCCTGCAGCACCGGCCACTTGGTTGGTCACGGAGGGGAGGGCCAAGGCAAGGAGGACACGGAGCAGAGACAGAAGTGGGAGATAAACAGAGGGAGCGACAGACAGAGAGACAGGGAGGAGGCAGGGCCCCAGCAGCCTCTCCGCCTCTTCCCGGAGCCAGGCCCGCACGACTGCCGGATGCCCTCTCCACCTGTGCCGGGCCGGGCTGTGCCGGCGCCTCGGGTCAGCTCGGGCCCTTGTGGGGCTGAGACGTGGGCAGCCACGTGCGGCCGGAAGCTGCCCCGTGGGGCGTGAGGCCGTGCCTGAAAGCTCCGCAGCAGTGTCTGCATGGCCAGTCTGGGCGGGGGGCGCGCGCGGCCCTTGACTTCCTCGGACTGATTTTGCAGACCAAGGTGCCCCTCGCCTGCGCCCGGGTCGTCACAGCGGCAACACTTCTCTTGTGGAATATCGCATTGTGTCTAGACTGCATCTTCTTTGTCCATTCACGCCGATGGGACTGCGGCTCCTTCCGCATCTTGGCTACTGTCGAAAATGTGGCCGTAAACATCGGGGTGCGTGCGTTCCTTTAAACTAATGCTTTTGTGTCTTTGGGTGAATAGTGGGTGTGGAATTGCTGGTCGTAGGGCAGCTCTAGTTTCAACTTTATGAGGAGCCTCCATGCTGCTTCCCAGAGTGGCCGCACCAGCTTGCATTCCCGCCACCAATGCAGGAGGCTCCCCTTTCTCCGCATCCTCGCCAGCACCTGTCATTCCCTGACTTGTTAATTTTAGCCATTCTGACTGGTGTGAAGTGGTATTTTATTATGTTTTTTTTTTGGATTTTATTTATTTTTTTTGTCAGAGATAGAGAGAGGGACAGACAGACAGAGGGAGAGGGAGAAGCAGACTCCCCGCTGAGCAGAGACCCTGATGCGGGGCTCGATTCCAGGACCCTGAGATCACAACCTGAGCCGAAGGCAGACGCTTCACTGACTGAGCCACCCAGGCGCCCCTCACTGTGGTTTTGATCTGCATTTCCCCAATGATGAGTGATGTGGAGCATCTTTCCATGTGTCTGCTTGTCGGTCATTTGGATGTCTTTTTTGGAGAAATGATTATTTGTTTTTTGGGATGTTGATAAATTCTTTGTATATATTGAACACTAACACTTTATAATATGTCATTTGCAAATGTCTTCTCCCAGGCATCCCATGTGTGGAGGGATGATGGATGGATAGAGGAAGGGATGATGGAGGTGGATGGATGATGATGAACAGATGATGGTTGGATGGAGGGAGGGTTGGAGGATGGAAGGATGGAGGGATGATGGAGGGAGGGAGGGATGGTGGATGGACGGCGGGTGGGGAGATACACAGAGTGTATCAGACTCAAGAGCATGCGTAAATGTCTGCAGCTCTCCTTTTAGAAGGGTTGGCAGTCAGTGAATGTTGATTCTCACTATGATTTTCTTCTGGAAAGTGTTGGAATGGCTGCCGGCTCATGGCTATTGGCCTTAACTTCTGCATGTCTCACTTGAATTGTGTGCCGAGGTAGATTAAACCCTCACGGAGTTTGGTCTAGACAAGGAGAGGGAGAAAGAGAAAGGTGAGGAACCAGGCACACGGGAGGGCAGGTGCGGAGGGGGTGTGCCGGGGAAGACGCAGGGACTGGCTTCCGAGACGGCAGCTGACCCTGGAGGCTGGCTGGGACCGTGCAGTGGGGTGGATAGAAGCCAAAGCAAGGGGCCAGTGGAAGACCACGTGGGAGGGGCAGGTTGAGCAGCAGGGAGTGGCCCCACTGCCCTTCATCCCCGTGGCCATCCCTCTCGCCCACCCACCCTGCGGGGAAGACCACGTTTGTCCCGACGCCCCCCTCCCTGGAAGGACTCCAGCAGGACCCGCAGTCTGAGCCCATCTGGGCAGCCCCACCCTCCTGCTGGGTTTTGGTGCGGATCAGTGAAGAGCGTCCAGCCAGTGAGCCGTGGGGATACGTGTGAAGGGCAAGGGTGGGGGAAAGAGGATGTTTAGGATGTTTCTGGGATTGATGTCCGTGCGGCGGCCGGCGCAGCTGTCTTCTCCTCAGGCCTGGGGCAGGGCTGTGGAAAGCACCTCGTGGGCACCGCGCCGGCACAGCGGGAGGCAGCCCCGCCCTCGTTCGGGCTCACTCCGCGGTGGCCTCAGCTGCTGTGGGGCCCAGTCGGGCAGGTCACTGCAGACTCTGAGATCAGTCTCAGAGGATCCCTCACTCGGAAGCCCAGACACCCTGCGATGGACACCTCGTGCCTTTCCTACCCACAGGCCCCAGTCCCGCCCTCGTCCATGTTGCTCCCAAATCACTGGGCCAGCCTTACGCCATGGGCCCCTCCCTACGGTGAGACCTGCCCCACTTTGGACACGTAAACACGGAAACTTGGGCCACCGGAGCTGCTGCCTTCCTCGGTACAGTGACCTGACCCTTTGAGTTCTCTTGGCTGGCCCCTCAGTCCCCTGGGAGCTCAGGTTTCCTGGGCTGGGCATCTCAGTCTACTCAAACGAGGTGTGCCCAGGGTGATTCTGGCCCTGAGTCTCCCTGGGCCTCCTCCCAAGGCTTGGGGGCACAGAGTGTATCAGACTCAAGAGGCTGCAGACCCCAGCTGGGTCTGCTTCACGTTCTGGGTGGCCTGGGTGCTGTCCGGGGGCAGGTAGCCCGAATCTCAAAGACTCCTTGCGTCCTAGACAGACTGCTCGTTGAGAACGGCTGAGACAGAACATTCCGTATGCGCCATCACCCACCCACCCATCCGTCCATCTCTCCACCCACCCACCCATCCGCCATCTTTCCACTCCTCCATCCATCTGTCCATCATCCGTCCCTCCACCATCCCTCCTCATCTACCTACTCTCCTCTCTCCATCCATCATCCATGAATGCATCCCTCACCCTTCCACTCCTCCATCCGTCCGTTATCTCTCTACCCCTCCTTCCCTCCCTCCACCCATCATCCACCCATCCACCATCCATCACCCTTCCACTCCTCTGTCATTCTCCTTCCCCACCTCCATCCGTCCAGCATCCCTCCACTCCTCCATTGAACCATGGTATAGGGAATGTGGAGGATCATTTGCTGCACAGGCTGGGGACACAATTGGGAGCCCTGTGGTGGCTCTCCTGAGGTGCCTGCCATCAGGAGGAAAGCAAGGAGAGCCACGGGTATGTGTGAGTGCCCAGGGAAGGGCAAAGTCATGGTGGGCGGTACAGCGGGGAGGGAGCATGGGGCCCATCCTGCCCACCAGGAGAAAGACGGGGGTTCGGAGCAGTTAGGAAGAGACAGAAGATGTCTGTGCGGCCGCAGGCAGCTTGGAGCGAAGGGAGGACAAGAGACTGGTCCTGCTCCCCGCTTCCCGGCCACGCTCTGCCTGTGAGGCTCCGGAGCTTTCTCTTCTGCTCTTGAGAAATGTTCGGTCTGCGCGTCTGCCGCTTAAGGTCCAGAGGGTGTTAATGAAAACGAGTGAAATAACTTCCACATTCCAGGGCTTCCCTTTTCCTCCACTCAGGCTGCCCACCACCTGGAAACGTCAGTGGCTCCCATTTTCCAAGTCAAACCGCCGTGTGGCTGTCAGGGCTCCCTGCGGCTCCTCCCCACTCGGCACACTCACCCCCGATCTCACCCCCCTCTGAGAATGCCCTGGACTGCCAGCCTTGCCCCTGAGGGCCCCCACTCTAACCCCCGTTCGCCCCCTGCGCCGCGGCGCTTCCTCCTCCGGGGTTGGCTCATGCCCAGCTTCCCCTCGCTCCCCCCCGACATCTCCTGTTGCTCCGGCAGCCCTGCCTTGTCCCTGTGCTCTGTCGGGGCGTCCGACCCCTACGTCGGCTCCGACACGCCGGGGTCCCGCCTGCACGGACCCCGCTTCCTGCACAGACTCCCCACGGGGGGCAGTACAAACGGTGCCACTGCAGACTGACACGCCCGGGCACGTGGGAGCTCCAGGAAGGACCAGTGCTGCCAGGGGACAGTTCCAGGCAAGAGCAGGGATTTCTGCCCCAAACGCCTGCCTCCCCGTGGCCCCGGCGACACCGGGGTGCATGGGGCCGCCAGGGGTCTCCGAGGCCAGGGCTCCACTCTGGCTGCGGTTTGCGCGAGAAGATGCCCACGGGCCTCCGTCACTGAGCTCAGAGCTCAGCGCGTCCCGTGCCTGTGCAGCTGCCACGGACATGGGACAGAGGTGCACCGCCGCCTAGAAAGCTCTCTCGACCCCCAGGTCAGCGCTGCCCGGTCCCAAACCCCACGGGAGCCGGGCCACGCCGTGGGACGCCGGACGCACCCCCTTGCTTCCTGTCCCCGAGGGGGGTGCCACGCCGACACGCCACAGCGCGTTCACCGGTTCTCCGGTCGACAGAGGCTGGGCTGGGGCCCGCGGGGCTGCCGGGGCAAGGTCGCTTCAGGCCTGCGTGGGCCAGCGTCCAGGGGCCCTCCACTGGGTCCGTCTCTGCTGGCGGACGCCTCGGAGCGGAGCCCGTGGACTCCACGTCTGTTCGGTCTTCCGAAAGGGGCCACACATTTTCCCGGAGTGCGTGTCTCCCTTCACACCTTGGGTCCCCCCACTCCAGGAGGCAGCTCGTGGTCCACACCTGCCGTTGGCCACTCCCACTGGGTCGATGCCATCGATCAGGAGCCCCATTCAGCACAGTCCGGCCGGACAGGAGCTTGCCACACACTGTGCCGTGCTCACAGAACGTCTTGATTCGCGGCCGGGGAGACTGAGGCGTGGGGGGTAACTCGCCCGCTCCCAGCCGGTCGGCACGGAGCAGGCTTGCCCTGACCGTCTAACCTCAGAGCCCGACTGGGAGGGGTTTGTCCTCCTCAGCCTGGAGTCGGGCCTTGGTTCTCCTGCTGCTGGCCTTGTCCACGAGGGCTCGGAGCCCCTCCGCGTGGCCCCGTGCAGTCACTCTGATCCACTTTTCAAGGTTCGTCTCCTTTAGGAAAAGTACCTCATGTGGCCCCGGGCTGGGCTTGCCGGCCGTTGTTTGGGTGACGAGCGGATCAGCCCGGGGCAGCCCACATGCGGCCACAGTTCTCCCTCCCATCCGTGGACAAGGGTCCGCTCCACACGCACACACTGAAGGAGGTCACAGGCAGAGTGTGGGCCACAGCTGCTGGCTGAGGTCTTCTGTCCTCTTGCTTTCGTCCAAGGACCCCAAATGGCACTGTGAGCCCGCGGCCCGGGCCTGGAGGAAGGTTTGGGAGTGGCTGGGGTCGCCCAAACCAGGACAAACGGCAGGGATGGACGTGGCATCCAAGAGACCCTGCCCAGATGGGGTCTTGCTGGAGGGGTCAGCCCCCCTCCCAGGGGACCAGCAGGGCCTCCGGCGGCCCTCAGAGCCCTGGGCGTGCGTGCCGAGCCCCTGGGATGCTGTCTGCCTCTTGCCAGGTGGGGAGGAATTGGGGGGACCAGCCTCCATGCAGCCACGAACGTGGTCCAGCCCCTGGAGAAAGGCGCCAGTTGGTGGCCTCAGGCATGTGGCGGGAGGTTCTCCACCCTCATGCCCTCCCCCATTCAGCCCTAATACTGCCTGGGGGCACAGCAAACTCCGTACTTATCCCCCCATGAGAGGCCCCAGGCAGGGCAGCTCCCACAGAATGTCCGGACCCCGCCACAGGGCCTCAGTGGCCCCGTAAGCCCTGCTATCCACCTCCCACCCCGACCCAGGGCCCCTCCCAGGAGCCGAGACTGGCAGGAGCCCCATGTCCAGCCCAGGGCCGAGCACACGGGCCCACGGAGGTTCTGGCTTCCCCTGTAGGGCCTGGGGGGCTGCACGCGGCCGACACTCGCCTTCCCGCCGCCCCTCTACAGAGCATGGCTCTCTCCCCGCTGCATCAGCCCAGGGCTCTGGCCTTGCTGGCTTCGGGGGTGGGCCGGCACCCAGCCTGAGGACAAGGATGGATGGACGGACAGGGGGTGTGGTGCCTGGGGCTGAGACGCCCGCCCAGCCCTCTGAGGAGGGGTCAGCTCCCCAGGAATGAACCCGTGGGACCTGGTGAGCGGACAGATGACGTTTTGCGAAGGTGACCTCTTGTTTGCAGTTTTTCAACGTGAAGAAGTCGCTCCCATGTAGAACTGCAGACGCTGAGCGGAGGCCGCACTCGTGTTCAGGACAAGGGGCCTCTTCACGCCTTCTTCCCCTGGTCAGCTCCATCCCGCCCACACTTGTCTGTCACCTCGAGTCCGCCTGGGAACAGAGAGGGATCTAGAAGCTGCCCAAGCCCCTCCCGGCATCCCTGGCGCCCCCGGCCCCCGGCAGACACGGCGTGGCGGTGGTCAGCGCTCACCAGCCTCCGGCACGGCCGCCAGGGCATCTCTGCGAAGTCGGGGCCCAGAAGGGTAGCTCTGCAAAGCCGCTTGGGCAGAAGGTCCTGCTGGACATCTTGGCCGAGCCCCGCAGGAAGCGGACGACAGACGCTCGTTACGTGGTAACAGAGGCAAATGCTTCCCGTTCTCGCCGGAGAGCTGGGGCTGAGAGGAGCCCCCGTGCGGGAGGGACGCCTGACAGAGGGCCATCCACCCGAGAAGCCAAACGCTCGCAGGCCGGCCGGCCAGCCTGGTGGGGAGGATGGGCCTGTATCCCTGCCTGCCTCAGCCCAGGCAGGACCAGACGAGCCCAGCGCGCCCCACCCCGCGCCACGGCCAGTCCAAGGGCAGGGACCTGCGGCTGGTGCAGTCCCCTCAGTCGGTAGGGCAGGGGTCCCTGTCCCAGGACGGGTATGGGGTTACCTGGCATCTTCTGAGGGCTTGTGAGAACTCTCGCTCCCAAGAGGGGATGGAGGGCTTGGGCCTGGGACACGAGGGGCCCCCTGGGAACTTGGAAGGACACCCAGGAGACCAGAACACGTGCACTGGCCACAGTCATCCGACAGAGAGCTCCCATGCTGGCGCTGCAGCCATGGGAACGGCCACGCTCCACGTGCTGGGGGCGTCGGCGAGGTCGGAATAGTAGGATACGGGGATCCGGGCGCTCAAGACGTCTCAGCCCCAAGCAAGGGGTCTTGCCAGTGGGCGGGATCCAGTGCCCCAGGCGTCCCTCCAGCGGCTCTGAGCAGGTCCGGGAGCCGTGGGTGCTGGGGTGCGGTCGCTGCCCTCACCCTGGGGAGGCACCGGGCGCCCCATGGGATCACAGGTCTTCTGTGGAGTAAGTCGGAGCTGCAGATTATCTGGAGGTGAGAAACCTGTTTCATAGTATCACCGCCCGACTGCTGCTCTCCCCAGTCCCTGCGCTGTTTGGGTAGGGGTCTTTACGGAGATCATTGGGCCACAGCGGCGTCTTTGGGTGGGTCTACTCCAACGCGGAAGAGGCCAGGGGACAAGACCAGCACCGGGAAATGCGCAGAGAGGGCGGCCCGGAGCCGTGGAGACACAGGGGCACAGGCCCCTCCTGCTCCCAGCCTGCTCTGCATGGGTCGGGGGGGCACGGAGTTACCTGTGCCACAGGCGGGGCAGGCACACAGCAGACTGTGCCCAGGGCCCTGCGCAGCAGACACTGCATTGGAGGTGCCCCAGCCTCCGGGGAGCGCTGTGGGGGTCCTTCTTCCTGACAGTCGGCCTATCAGCATTGCGGGGGCCTTCACGCCCATCCCCAGGACCTGCTGGTGCCTGGCCCCCGACCAGCAGGGCTGCCCACTGGGTGCTCGGGCTGGGCTAGTGTGCGCCTCCCTCACCCCAGGCGCACGTCCGCCACCCGCCGGCTCCTGACTTTGCCTGCATCCAAGCCCCCACACCAGGCCTTCCCCGGACGGTCCTGCCTCCAGCCTTCATTCCTCCGGGCTTCGCTCAATGTCTTCCGTCCAAGGCCTCAGCCCTGGTCTCCTGGTCTCCAGGCCGAGGGGACAGCAGTTGGCCTGAGCCTCGTCCCACCAGCCTGGGGGGCGAGGGGGCCCTGCTGTGGGCTGACCCGGGCCGGGGTGGGTCTCCCGGCCTCCCCATCTGCAAGTTTGTTACTGAGGAACCTGCATCCATGGCACACACCGTGTCCCACCAGCTGGTTACTGCCCTCCCATCCCCCCTGTCCCAAGGGATCTGGCTCCCTTCAAGCTCAGACTTTGTGGGAGGCCGTGGATGCTCTCTGGAGCTTGGGTCACCTTCCTTAAGGTGGAATGTTCCAGAATGCAAGGATCCCCCAGAAGGAACTGTGATACCTGGGAGCAGAGCAGAAGGGTCAGACATGCATGGGGAGCCAAGCACCTTCAGGCGCCACCGGCTGTGGACGCTGTGTCCCCCATGGCCCCATCCCCCCGGCTGGGGAGGCCAGGGCAGCCCCCACCACAGGGCTCTTGCAGCAGGCCTGGCTGGTCTTGGACACGAGCCCCAAGGCACAGGAGCACACCTGGAAGGCAGACAGAGAGGTCACAGGAATGTCCCTGATGGCCAAGGGCCACATGTGCAAAGAAGGTGGTGTCTCTCTTCTGGCCCTCGATCAGTGGCTCATGCCGTGTTTGAAGCGGGAGGGACAGGCTGAGGGCCGGCTGCCTCGGAGTGACTTGTGCCCAGACCCCCTCCCACCGCGCCCGCCCTCCCTGCCCACTCTCAGTGGCCGCCCTGGCTGACCTGCTTCCTGAGAAGGGCCCTGGGTGTGTGCTCAGCTCCGGGCTCCCCTGTCCACCGACCACCCCTCCCCTGTCTCCGGGGGCTTCCGAAGGCGGAAGGACAAGTTTCAGCAGCCCCTCCCGACACTTGGTCGCCCTCCAGAGCCTTCCCTGCAGCCCCTGACCACATGGCTCTGGAGGGCGCGGGGGTCTCTCGAAGACGTACAACCTGTGCAGGGCCGTGCCCTCTCCCAGGACACGCAGAAGCCACCCTGGGATGAGCGGGGACAAACCCTTGAAGCCATGGGCCACCCCGGTTCTGGAGAAGGACCTGACCAGGCCCTCCCAGGTCTGCAGGCCCTGGGTCCTGCCCCTGTAGACCCTGCCTCTGTGACATCCTGGGGGAGGCAGTGAACACAGGCTCCCTCCCATGCCATCAGTCCCCACCGGCCGTCCCCACAGCAGCTGCTCGAGGCGCCCTCCCTGTCCCATTCTGGGGAGTCTGTGACACATCCCTGCCTGTGGCCCACCCGCCCCGTCCTGCCTCCAGCGCCCACCGTGGCACCAGCACGGGAGGGAATAGCAGGGGCCCTCAGAGCCCCTACGTGGACGAAGAGAGGCACCCCCATGCAGAAAGTGGGCCCGTCTGAGATAATCCAGGGTGAGGGGCTACCCACCAGCCTCCCCAGGGGCCAGGCCCGTTCTAGAGAGCCTGGGGGTGGAAAGGGACCGGAGCGGGGCCAGGGGGAGCCCGTGGGCCGCAGACACCTGCCTGAGGGCCCCGGGGGGCAGCGCACATGCAGGACCGGCCAGGCCCCGCCCTGACGCCTGGCATAGCTGCGCCCGGTCCCGGGGGCACCTGGGCAGTGGTGGGACCTGAGCCTGCCCTCCGCCGGCCTCACTGCCTGGGCAGGAAGCACAACCACGGTACAGAGCCAGCAGAAGTGTACAAAAAGCAGTTAGGTGTGCGGGGTGTGGGCTTGGGGCCAGGGCTCCGCGTGTGAGCAGACCTGCAGGCAGGCCCTCACCCTTCCTGGCCCCAAGGACCCCAGGCTGACGCGCACCAGCCCAGGTAGGCTCTGGTCGCCCCTGCGGACACGGTGCTGGGCAGGCAGGAGCTTCACCCCTGCAGGAGCTCCCGGAGCCCACGCTCTCCTGCCTCAGGCCCCTGGGCCAGGCACCTGCTTTCCCTCCTTGTCTCCCCAGGGCCCAATGCCTGAGCCTTCCCTCCGCGGGGACACTGTCCTGTCCACTGCAGCACCCCCAGTCCCCTCCCAGGAGGGCTGGCTGGGAGAGAAACAGGGACAGAGAGACAGGGACAGAGACAGAGAGAGATGGTGAGACAGGGACAGAGATGTAGAGAGAGAGACAGAGAGAGTCTAGAGAGACAGAGACAAAGAGATAGGGTCAGAGACGTGGAGAGACAGTGAGACAGAGACAGAGATGCAGAGAGACAGAGACAAAGACAGAGGTGTAGAGGGACAAAGAGAGACAGAGATGTAGGGAGACAGAGAGATAGAGACACAGAGACAGAGATGTAGAGAGACAGTGAGACAGAGAGACAGAGACGTAGAGAGACGGAGAGACAGACAGAGACAGAAGCTGAGTATCATTTCATAATGATCTTCAGAAATACTGGAACAAGGGGTGTCTGGGTGGCTCAGTGGGTTGGGCCTCTGCCTTCTGCTCAGGTCATGATCCCAGGGTCCTGGGATCGAGTCCCGCATCGGGCTCCCTGCTCAGCGGGGAGCCTGCTTCCCCCTCTGCCCCTCCCCGCGCTTGTGCTCTCTCTCTCTGACAAATAAATAGGTAAAATCTTTAAAAAAAAATACTGGAACAAGGGTAAGTGCTATTAATTGTTAGAAACGGTTGCGTGTAAAACCTGAATGAGACCAGGCTTGTTTCATCCGAGTCTCTTTTTCCTGGGAGGATGTGGAGTTGGCGGCATTTCCTGAGCCTCCAGGCCAGCTGTGTCCCCCTGACGTGACAGGTGTCCCTCCCGGGGCCCGGCACACGACCAAGTGGCCCGCAACAGAAGGTGACCTGGTCCTCAATTATGGGCTTGCCCCCGCGCCGACTGAGGAAGCAGGAACCCCCCCAAAACTCCACCACCTTATCCCCACGGCCGCGACTTCCGGCAGGGGTAGATCTGAAGGGCCTTCATCAGCCCGTCTGTGAACTTGAATGTGGGGGAGTCACGCGGACGTGTCGGCGCGTGTGCATGTGGGACCCCGCCGGTGTGGGCAAGCGTGACCTCGTTTTCTCTGCCCGTTTGTGCCCTCTGCTGGTTTGTCCGGACATTGCTGTCAGCGAGGTGACCTTGTTCCCGGGGAGCAGAGGCTCGCAGGGACACCCCCCTGCTCCGCCCCCACCAGGGCCTTCAGCCCACCCGGAGCAGATTTCTCTCCTGCTCCCCGTGAAGCCACAGAGGGGCCCAGGGCTGGGGCAGGGCTGCGTGGTCAGGGACTCAGGCCCCTCCTGACCCGCGGACTCACTGTCCACCCGCAGCAGCGTTCCCTTGGCCCAGGATGGCTGCTGAGGCTCCAGTCATCCCACCTGCCGTTCCATGGGGGTGCAGCGTGGGCGCTGGGGGCACAGAGTCAGGGTGCTTCCCCGCTCCCTGGGAAGCCACAGGCTGGGGCAAGGCCCTCCCTCCGGGGCTGCTTCCCTCCTCCCAGCAGCGATAGTTTAAGAACCTCTTACGCACAGCTGGGGCAGCCGCCTCAGGGGTCCGGCAGGGAGCGGGAAGCCAGCCCCCCCCCCCCCCCCCCCGCCCCCGGGGAGTATCCACCAGGCAGAGGACCTGAATGAGACCCGGCTTATTTCATCCAAGTCTCTTTTTTCCACTCTGGGGATCTGGTCACCCACGTCACACACATCTCGTTCTGGGTGTGGCTGGGTTGCGATGGGGGTTTCTGTCCCCACGGGGTCTCCCTGGTGAGCCCTCTCTGCTCTGCCCTGGAGGGGGCAGCCCCTCTGTGT